CCCACAGTTGGATTCGAACCCGCGACGCAAGGATCAAATCCTTACTCCGCGACTCTACAGCAGACGCTCTAACCACTGCGCCACGCGGGCGACTCGGGTGGCTCGTGCCTCGCACACTAACCTCGGACGTGAACGGTGTTCTGTTTTTGCCAGTTCGAAATTCTGAGCGCTCGCTCAGTGACCGGAAGGGCGTTTGTTCGCATCTCGGCTGCGACTGACCTACAATGTATGTCGTTAAAATAGGTAGCAACTGTGCCTTCGCCAAACGCTCGGCACTTTGAAGTGAAAGTTGCGGGTCCTTCGGTTGAAACCTTTAAAACAAGGCCCTGTGTCACGGCAGGCGTTGGCACAATAAAGATTCGTCACTGCTCAATGGCCCCGAGTGCCAAATAAAGGTCTAACTTTGAAGCCCCTTCTGATAGGCTTAAGGGAAACTGCTCAACCACAAATATAGTGTGGCTATCTGTTACTTCTTGTTCTGTAATTTATTTTGTTAAGCCCCTTGAATTCATTGTTTTTTTTCATTAGAAAAGGCCACTGTAGGGGGCATTTGTGTTTATCAAACACAATTTTGAAATCGAACTTTAATTTAAAATAAACGGTAGGGGAATGCATTGGGGAAATATTTACATAAATGTACCCTGTACTCCACACTATTTTGTAGATATTTTTCCGAGCTATTCTAATGCAGGGCACAGTGAGCGTTGCAATGCTTGATGAAGTTCAAATCTTACAAGGAATATGTATTGGTAAGTCAAACACAATATGCACTCTATATTATATGAATTTATCCGTGCAGAATTACCAAGTTTGATTAGAATACTAATTGTTCACAGATAATAAAGAGGTTCTATCACACTTTTGGTATAAATTCTAAATAATTTATTGATCAGTTTCTTTTTCTTTTTTTTTTTTGGGGGGGGGGGGGGGTGGGTTAAAATACACATTAGCAAAGCAAAACTCCATGTTTACGAACATTAATATTTTTTAAACACTATAGCCGTTTTTCATAACCTTTTTAAAGCTGTAATATTCAATTTTATTGAAGAAGTCGGACATAGTTCCGCGACAGCGTGATCATCCCGGTATAGCGCGACCATTTCTCTTTGGCGATTTTATACAAATTAAAAAAAAAGAGAAAATTTAAGCAGTTCCGACATATATAAATGTTACTAAGCAATGATTGTCAGCTGCTTGATTGCAATATTGTTGCAACCACATATAGAAGTCGGAAAAGTCGATCGATTTAATCATATTTTAAAACTGATTTGTAGATTTTGTTACATGAGTATTTTTTCATCTCTGCATTCATTCTCTCTGCTTAAATCAAAAAAGAAAGTACCTTAAATGTCGTAACAGACGATGAAATTATGTGTTTACAAACCAATTTAAGATGTTGCAATTCTTATGTTGTATTCCTCAAATCAGTTGTGTTCTGAAGACTGAAGTCAAGTTTATATAATTTGCATCAAACATGCAGTATTTGTAAGTATACGTGAGGATTGTGATAGAAATTTTTGAAAGGGTCAGATACATCACAACTTTTTGTGCTATACCGAAAATGCAACTCCACGTTGCATTTTTTATTGTGATTCATCAAGTAATTCTGACAATTTACTTAGTAATTAACAATTTAGAATGCGATTCAGACAATTACTCAAAAGTGCACTGAGGCGTTTTTCAGAATAGAGAAAACTTCTATCAAAAGGTATAAAATTATAGGAAAGTGTTTCAAGTCCTTAGTATACCTTTCTCTTCCTTTAGATGAAATAGGTCTCCGGTTTTAAATTTCCCATTAGGACTTCAAACAAACTCTTAAGCAATAATGAAATATGTGGAGATAACGAACAGTATTCGAGCTCAAAAGTCCATTAAACATAAAAAATAGGAGCAGAGCAAACACGGACCTCTAAGACATCAGAGGTGGGATCAGGTGCCATGGAGGAGTGAGCATCCCCTGCCGACGGTCACACCCGCTGTGTGCTCTTGTCATAATCGGAAAATAACGGAAAAATCCGTCGACAATTCAGTGTGTAAATAATGGCCTAACAATTAGTATGAAAAAAAAAGTCAATCAGCATTTGACTTATGGATAGATTGTTTTTGCTGACAAGGTCATTGTATCGACCATAGAACTTACGAAATAATTACTTTAAACGAGATTGCTGATAATCATGTTTCATCAACTTGTTTTTCAATAACTTACCTCGTTTTAGAAATTGCAGGTGATAAGGGTAAATTGCTGCATTTAAAATATCTAAATATGAAACAGATGTGTCAGACTCTGTGGTATCTTGTATCTCAAGCTCACCGCGATATATCGTGTCGACACAAGAATGAAATTACCGTTGTTAATTGCCAATACGTCATCGATATATCTAAATGTCGAGTTGAAGGCCACATCAAGTGTTTTTTTTCTTTTCACGTAAAAGATTTTGAACAAATTCTGCTTCATATGAATGCAAAAATAGGTCTGCGAATAACGGGGCGCAATTGGTACCCATGGGAATTCCAATATATTGTTGGAAGACCTGGTCTCCAAAAACCACATAGTTATTGTCAATAAGAAACTCGAGCATCTTTTTAATGTCAACTTCAGAGTACTTGTCAAGTTGTGTGTACAATCAGATTGTTTTTAACAAAGTTAATTTGCACATGACCAATGACAAGGTAAGTGAATTTACGAGTTCCATTTTTATTGAAATACAGCTGTCATCGATGATATTAAAACTATAAACTCATACATGTAGAGCAATATATATCTGGCGACTCTTAACAGCAAAGTAAGAATCTTGATGATAGAAATACTCTAACATATGAAAAGCTTACATTTTATTGCTTTTATGCAACATCTGGAAAATAATATATGGCAATATTTATCTCTGCATAGTCCTTTACTTTTAAGTAAATACAGCCCTGTAATTTTCCCATGCATTTTTGCGTTTTCTTATTTGTATGTTTTACCAGAGAAAAGCATTGATGACATTTTGACTTATCATGATAAACGTGATGACTTGATTTTTTATATCGCCAACTTCCTTTAATTGTCTCCCGGTTAATTCGATACGCAAGAGCATGTTCTACGTATAAACAATTTTTAAAACGAGGTAGGATTTTGACAAATAAGTTGATGATATAAGCGTTCAACAAGATTCAGTGTACAATTCTATTGCAATCTGTTGCAATAAAATTATACGTTGGGCGGGGCATTCATGTCCTAAGGACATATTTCTAGTTTAGGCATGAATCTGAATATGTTTTAGATGCACAATTTTTAACTTAGTATTAACATATATAACTTTATCAATAACAAAACATCATATACAACAAATTTTTCATAGATGCATGTCCGGAGAATTCTTTCCAGTGTGGTAGTACTGAGTGCATAAGTACTGATCAAATGTGTGATGAACAAACTGATTGTTCCGATGGTACAGACGAAAAGTTTTGTAGTGAGTATCATGTGCAAAGTAGCATGCTTTAAGCCCCTAGGAAGCACTTTCAAATGAAAGAGGGGTTTAACAATACTAATTTTTGGCAAGCAAAATAAAAAAGATCATGTTTGAGGGGGCAAAACAGTAATAGAACATTGCTTTCTATTAAATAGTATATACGGGCACAACATTACGTTAATCATTAGCTTTGTTTTCTATTGTAAAGTATATCTTGGCAAAATTGTTGAGACCCTCCCCGGGTTCGTAAGGGCATGTTTCGCACATTAAAAGATATGCATTTATGTGTATTCAGGTATTCCTGTAAAAATTACTTTTGCAAAAGATTTAGCTAATCACAAGGACAAACTATCTATCGATGTTTTAAGTTGTATTATTATGTATATTGCAGATTTACATCCTGTAATAAATTGTAGTAGCGTGTCATTTCTAACAAACACGTCCATTGTCTCAGAGGAAGGATTTCAGGACAGGCGAGGTTTTACAGACTGCATTAAAGATGGCAACATAACTTCGTTCGAAGCAAATATATCTGTAGACTGCAATCGGCATAGCACAGTCACGTGTCGTCCTTTTTGTCCATCTGGGTGCAACTGTATAGGAGAAAGCTATATTTGTGTCAGAGATCAGTGTCCAGCCTTTACAGGGACAATCGTTCTAAATAACATTGAATGTACGAGTCTAGTTTTCGATGACAGAACACGCGAATATTTCGTGAAAAGCAAACATATATTTAAACTTGAAATTTATAATTCAGTTATTGCAAATCTAACAATATTTTCCTATGGTAATCTTTCTCTGCATAGAATCTTCATAATGCACAGTATCTTTGTGAAGATTAGAATACATCCTAACTTTTTGTCCACATCACATAAAACACTGCAATCCTTCCACATGTACAACTCTACAGTCTCCGATCTTGATTACAACGTGCGAACCTTGATAATACATCTGATTGTAAAGGCCAGTTCGTCATATCACTTTTTCAAAGCTACTTTCACTTTCAAACCTGAAATCTGTGATGTATCAGGTAATGGACTTAAAGACTTTTCTGAAGCAGGTCTACATTGCAGAGACTTAGTGAATGCAAGTCATAACGCGTTAACAGACATGATTAATACAAGTACCCGGATACTAGATTTAAGCCATAACAAGCTCACCCATTACAGACGTTCTTTTAAAGTTTTAAATGCACTTTATCTTAATAACAATCAGCTTCAGTCGACAAGAAACAGTCATCATAACGAAGAACGAGCTGGCGACAGCCTAAGGATACTTGATTTTTCATATAACAATATAACAACCATCGAAGCTGGAGATCTCATTGCGGTGAAACTGACATATTTGAATCTCTCGAGGAACCAAATCAAAATGATACATACTGGTGCCTTTCTTCAGTCCACCCAACTCTTCTCACTTGATTTATCCTATAATAAAATCTTCCATGGGACTTTCTCGCCACTCAAAAACTTAGAAGAGCTGTACATACAGGGAAATGCCTTTCAGGTCACAGTTGATATGTTTAAAGGTCTCTATAATTTAAGGATAATGGAAGTAAGCTCCTATACAATATGCTGTGCTAAACCAAATAGCATTTACAATGTCAAATGCATTGCACCTGTGAATGAAATTTCGTCTTGTGAGAATCTGATTGCTGACCCGGTTCTCAGTGCTGCTGTATGGTACATTGCATTAATGGCAATTTTTGGGAACATGACTGTTTTTCTACATTTTGCCAGTAATTTCAAAAGCAACGAAGAGGGGGCGTACTATATTCTAACAATTAATCTGAGTTGTGCGGAGTTTCTGGTTGGTGTTTACTTGTATATTATTGCTATCATAAATCTGCATTACACAGGCCAGTACGGTTTGAATGATTACGTTTGGAGACACAGCATCGTTTGTACCCTTTCTGGAATAACTGCCACTCTGTCAAGCGAGGTTTCTGCTTTTATTGTTTTGTTGATCACACTTGACAGATTTATTGCAGTCATGTATCCATTTTCGGACTTAAAACTTAACAGAAGAAGAGTCTCTGTGCTTTTGTTTATTGTCTGGGTTGCGTCTCTTCTCCTTGCTTTGATCCCTTTAATACCGGACCCTAATCTTGAAAACTTCTACGCACAGTCTGGAGTCTGCGTTTCTCTTCCACTGTCCATTACTAGAAAGTCTGGATGGCAGTACTCAATGACTGTGTTCGTGGGAATCAACTTTTCTCTTTTTCTCTTCATCATATTTGTACAGATTTCAATATTCGTTAAAGTTTTCAGAGTTGGGAAGAATGTGCAATCGACCGCAGAAAGCCAGAGGGAATCCTCGTTGGCGAAGACACTGTTTGCGATTGTTCTGACTGATGTATTCTGTTGGATACCTATAGGGACGATAGGTAGGTTATATCCACAAGTCACGTGTACACTAAATATGGATACTGATTAATATACATATCGATTTTATATTTTCTCCCCAGTTTTTACATATTCATTCAACCTTATAATTTAAAATACAATTATATTGTTATATTATGAGGATGAAATTTCTGATATGTTGAGTTTTCCGTTACTAGGAATGCTGACGTTTTTTGGGATTGAGGTACAGCCTTACGTTTATGCCTGGATGATAGTTGCCGTTCTGCCCATTAACTCAGCTATTAACCCAATATTGTATTTGTTGACTATATTCATCAGAAACAAGGTCGGGCTATACGGTGTCATTGGTTTGTTTCCTTTACTAGAAGAATGTGCAATAGTTTTTTGTCGTTCTGGAAATGTTTTTAAAAACGCAACTTCTAAAGTTTTTTGTCGAATTTAATATAAAAAAAAGGTAGTATAATCGTTGAAAACGCTTATTTGCTTGTTTAGTGTCCTTTCGAGAATTTTTTACTTAATTTGAGACGCCACATTTTGCCGGTGGAGGGCTGCAAATTTAGATCTGTACTATGCATTTACGGCTTTTGAGCAGTGAGGGATCTTTTTTCGTGCCAGCACCTACTGAGGCACGGGACTTCGAAAGGGGGGCGGGGGATAATAAAAATTTTAACGCTGCACCTACTATATTAACCCATGCTACGTGCTCAAAACCTTGTACTGCAGAAATACAGATATACTAAGTCGTTTTAAAGAGTCAAATCTTTCTTAATGATATTCATTTAGCTCGATTTTTTTAAAATTAGAAATTAGACATAAAACGCTTAAGCACGAATCTGCCATCCTCTTTTTAAACGAAATTTGCATATGTACGTGCGAATAACTAAAACAAAATATAACGACGTCAAATATTACGTGTACGTCAAAGTCGCGCGTATTTTGCGTCACTTGCAACCAAACCCCTTTAACATTGATAATGTATGAACGAATATGTCCCTATCTTGGACATATTATGCTTCTTTCTTATTAGTTTCACATTGACAAGCTACGATAATTGCTTGATATATATTATACACTTCTCAAACTTGTCAGTGTCATTTTATCAGTAGTACATCTAAAGTAAGTTCGCCTCCGATTGATAGACGTTAGTATACGAGCTTTTTTTTGAAATTTAGTTTTTATTTTCATTCTTCATCTTCTTCCTATAAAGTGCTGAAACCAGTTAAGTATTTTCGACTTACTTCCCATGTGCCGGGGATTAGCGCTTATGTACAGTGCAAGTGAAAACTCTTCAAAAACAAGGTAAAAGCATGCTTTTGTTCGTTTAAACCTGAATCCAAAAAAAAAAAAATATCAAGAGCACTAAAAAAGGGCGCCCAACCCGACACACTGGAAGTTGCGAATTTTGTATGGGAAGCAAATCTATATTAGCATTGCTGAAAAAGAACATTTGTGTTTATTTGTCTCAATACCGTATTGTTTTAATGTTACGACATAATGAACCTTGATTACCGTAGCTGAATATAACTTATAAGTATCGTCATTTTTTACACAGAGCTGCAAATTGGTTTTAAAAAATATCACAATTCCTATGTTTTTACTATTTCCTATTTTTTACACTATTTTGAGTGTACACCAGTTGAGCTATAGTCTCATTTAAAATTCCTATTTCACTTCTATGTTTAAATAAATAAGATATTAATATCAGTTCTTCAAAATTTAGAAAGGAAAAGACGGATATATCATATGGCAAATGAAAAAACAACTAGCTTCGGCAAAGGTACGTTTTCACCTTGTGTAACAATAATAGAATATTAACTAGAGCGAGCTCGTTGCAAAGCAACGAATAGGTCTTCCGTTGGAGCTGCGGAAGGAAGAAGTGACCTTGAGTCAAGGTCATGCCACATTCTAAAGTTATGCATGTAAGCAATCTTGTAAGGGGAAGCAACTTATAATATTTCGCTAGGAAAAACTGTAAAGGAATGTACGTGACCTTGAACATTCCAAATGCCTTGCGTCAAACCATGACACACTCTCGTCATAAAACCCAATGTGTGTGTTACTGACTTGAAAAGTTCACAGTGACACGTCATGTTCTTTTAGTACATACATACAGTCAAAACATCTTATCCTTAGTGACCTTGAACTTGAGTCAAGGCCATGTCACACTCTGCATGATACCAGCAATGTTTCACTAGTACAAATACGGTAGCGAAATTACAGTCCTCGACTCGACCAAATGACCTTGCATCAAAGCCATAACACACACTGGTTAAAAGCAATCCCAGTCTGTGAGTTTCTGAATGGATAAGTTCAGCCATGTTTTTGAGATCATACAGCGAGTCGGAATAATTTGTTAGGTTCAACATAATGATTAAAAAATTCATCGAGAATGTTTTATGCCCAGTTTGGATAAGTAGTAAAACGTGGAGATCGGTCCTTTGGATGAGACCGTATAAGGTCTCGTTTCGGGGTAAGTGCTAGCATGAAAAGGATCTCTCATGCTACAAATTTTGAATTTACCGGGTGGCAGTAAATACTGACAACCGGTAAGTTCAAAATTTACAACATGACAGATCCATGGCATTTGATTCTACCTCTGATTTCAAAAGATTTGCACTGTTCCTGATTTGTATTGTTTGAATGGTCTTTTAAGCTTGAATGCTGCACAGGTGCTTGTGGACAGGACCCCCCCCCCCCCACCCCATATACATCCCGGGGTCCAAGAATATTTTTATTCGTCTTTTTCCATAAATTAATCTTCTAGTACACATTTACAATGTATTCCATATGAAAAATCCATAAAAATGACGTAGAATTAACGTTTTATTAAAAAAATCATACCCGCGGTATTATGAAATAGAGAAGGTAAGTCACTTCCATTTCTTAACACTGGACCCCTCTTGGATATCGGGCCTAAAATATCATATACATGTACCTACCACATGTCACCAAAATATGTTATTATATCTTGTTTCATCGTCGCAAGCCACGGGTTTTGTGTCCATTCTATTTCCACAAACCCGTGGCTGCCTCCTTCAAATTTCTCTCGTTCTCATGAATATTAATAACATACATTCAACCAATAGAATAACATCTGACGCTTCAAGTCAGAACCAATGAAAATGATCAGTCTATCTTGTATTTGGATGTACTAACCATAACCACGAGCTGTACATCAACTTCGGTTCGAATTTCCTTTCTTAACGAGTAACGCTATTCAGCGTTCTCACACAACGTCTACATTCGAAACCCTGTATTTTAATGTAAAACCTTGTAAGTATTTTAGAATATACGTTACTCACATCTGTTCTTCAGGATCTATCGTATTTTTTTTTCAATAAATCTGCCACGCATAGCAAACATGATTTCATTATGGGCGCCGCCATTTAAGCGTACCAAAAATTGCTACAGAGTGATTTCATTGGTCAGGGTAAATCTGGCGTCACTTAACAAATATTCAATGGTTCAGTCGCGAGAACGAGAGAATTTGGTAGGAGGCAGCCACGGGTTTGTGGAAATAGAATGGACACAAAACCCGTGGCTTGCGACGATGATCTTGTTTCGGTAGATATTTTTGTCTTTAATCGTGCTATTTAAACGGAAGACCTTAAATAGTGTCTGTGGCTGTCACTATTTCGGTGTTTTTCAGAAACTTGATCGTAGAATTAGTCAAAGTCCACAACTGGACAATAAACTGATAAATCGGCTTCAGTATATTATCTGTTCACAGAAACGACATATTGAAACGGGAAAAAAACATAATCCAGAAGCAATTCATTTCATTGAAATTTTATCATGAATATTTTGTTTTAATCGATGGACTCGATAAATCAATAAACTGACCGAAGGAAAAACGTTGCACGTGCCGTAACTTTCTGTACGTTTTTTTTTTTTTTTATTATTATTATTTTACATTCTACTTGCATAATACATGCACATGTACATGTACATATATATTAAACAGAGACATAAATACCAAGCCCGTCGGCATTTAAAAAAAAGTAATAAAACATAATTTGATTTGATCTATTTTATTTCATTTAAACTCTATTAATTTGTTTTAAAAGTATGATTGATCTTTTTCCTTTCAATATACACTCAGGGTAAAAAAAAAAGTATATATTGACTCGTGTAACTTTCATGGTTGTAGTTGCATTTGAAAATGAAGAAATAATGAAATGTTGAAGGGACTGGTGTGTTGTATGGCTAGACAACGCCTTGCAAATGCAGAGAAATTAACCACAGGTACTCTAGGACAGGTGTGAAACCCCTAGGGCATGCCGTTTCCTGCTCTTGCTCTGCTAATCCCTATACACAGGAAATGACCGCGACTAATACGTAATACACAAAGAAACAGAATATATTCAAGTAAACTTGGCATTGATTTTTTTCTTGAGTATTATTGAGAATAATAAGTTTTAGTGATATACCCCCCCCCCCCCCAGTTTTAATTGTTTTGTGAAGTTCATCACCATGCACATTCCATCTTCTGTAATTGGAGAAATGTTTAAATTAAAAACAAACCACTGTTTACAAAAGAAGTGATTATCGAGGGAAAAAAATTGTTATATTTTATTGATATCTTTTATAACGTTCACGCGCCCACTCACTGCAAACGCTCACCATCGAATATTACAGCTTTCCGGACATTCGACAATTTCAGGGAAATGCTTGCACATTAATACAGTAAAGTGAAATTATTTAAATGAATTATATTGTTCTAAATTTGGTTAAAAAAAAAAAAAAAAAAAAAAAAAAAAAACATGAACAGTATATAGATATAATTTTTTCCTCATAGGAATGCTGAAAACTGTTAATCGGAACTCGCACTGACTATTGTTTAGCACGTGTATGTAACATTGCAGTTCGCATGTAATTTGAAAAGAGAAGTTATTAGAACTTATATTTCCGACATTAAAATTTGTCACGTTAAACTCTCAAATGACTCAGCTTATAAATAGTTTTCTTGATACTATTTAAAAAAAGATGTCGCTTTAGTATTGATATATAACTTAACAAAATTAATAATAATAAATAAAACAGAATGAAAAAACGATTAAAAATATTCTGCTTTACAATTTTTTTTTTGTTCATTCATTATTTTCACCTTTTGCGAAATAAAAGAAAATACTTTCATAAATATACATACACTGCGGGATTTTAATTTGTTTTGTTTTTTTTTAAAGAGGGAATTTCGCAAAATTCCTGTTCGGGGAGATAACTCCCGTTTGTTTACGATACTAGTTGATCGATGATTTAACCGCGGCGGGGACAGGTAGGTGATGAATTTACCGCGGAGGGAACGCGGTTTACATGTCTCACCTG